GCCCCTATTCTGTCCACAGGTCAATCAAGATAACCCGCCAGGGAATCCAATTCAAGTTTGTGGCCGAGAGGTGGCCGAGAGACTGAAATATGAGGTTCATGTATTTGTTGATCAGAGTAAACAATTAAAATTTATCAAGTAGGAGGTCTCAAGTCAATAGACTATTCTAGTCGTGGCTGAGTGAAGAACAAGAAGAATCACAAAAGACGCCATTTAGGGCATTCAAAGTGATTATATTTGATGAAATATGTTGCATTTACTAGAAAATATTTGAATTAACTTCCACCAGGCAAGGGGACTTAAACATTTGAAGTAAAAGTGCAAAAAAGTATTTTTTTGTGATTCTTCTTGTTCTTCACTCGGCCACGACTAGAATAGTCCATTGCTTATTCTTTGCGTCCTTGTCCTTGTCCTTTCCGCGATAGGTACTGCATTATTGAAGGGTGATTTTTCACTCCCCTGATATTGATGTAAATTAGTTCTTGTTCTTGTGTTGAGAGAAGGTTGTTATTCGTGTCTTTCGAAATATATTTTTTTGCAAATATACCAATTTGAAGTAAATAAGAGAATGGACAATTTCCTAAACAGGCCTCTACAACATTGTCTCCATCTAAGATGTTGGATTATCCTCAATGCTCTCTTTTGCCTTTTAAATACTTTCATACTGAGTTCCTTATTTACTCTTTCATCACCCCAGAGAATAATTCCATATGCTAGGATATGAAAATTAGCATAGTATATTTTTACCAGGACATTACTATACAAGCAGTAGGAGGCTTGCTTCAGCATAAAAATTCCCCTATTTAGGTTACTAAGCAGTTTTTCAGCCTGGTCTTTCCACCCCAGATTGTGTTCTAGTTGTAGTCCAAGGAATGTTGTGCAGTTAACTCTTTTAAGTGGGGTTCCTTGCGGTTCCAAGTTTATATCAAGATTAGGGGAGCCAAAAACTATACAATACTACAATACTACTATTGTTCACCATTGTTAATATGTACACCACTATTTTTCACCATTGTTAATATGTACGTGAATGAATATGGTACTGAAATCATAATATGTTAAGTTAGAATGTTCACCATTATTATCATGATTTTTATTGAAGTTAATGATACCTTTCCACACGTCAATACACAATTCTCACATGACACACCGAACATGGACCAAGTGACATGCACAGTACACTTTACAGATTGTTACCATTGGGATGAATACAACACAAGAGCAATGAACAATTTGAATAATGTTGAATTTCTGATGAACACTGCACTGTCCCACAACCGATGCAGAGGACGACTCATGGTTAATGACTACACATACACATAATCACATACACACACCTGCAACACAAAGGGTGGATTTCAGTCTGACTTCTACTGCTCACACTCTCCATTCAGCAGGTGCAGCAAATGTGACTGGGGATTCGGCCTGTCTTGCTTCCCAGCACTGCGGGTGATGCACCTGAAAACAGATATGACAGTGGCACATTTAAAGTGGCAATGACATTTGACATCCTAGGACGGGCTTCAAGGGAAAGTACATCCAATTTAGGGTTTAGGTAATTCGTACCTTCTATGATTGCCTTCGCTACAGATAAGGATCACAACTGAACTTTGACAGGCGCTCATAACCTATATGCTCAGTAAGAAATGTTCCACTGCGAGCACAGGCACAGGACGGCCTGACTCTGGTGAATAGAACACAGTGCCAGCTTTTAAGCCTCCCTGCTTCAGATGGCAGACCAAAAAAGATTATCCAAATATGAAAAAAGATGGACTGAACCCACACACCGCACTCCAGCATGAAGTGCCATCCGCAGTACCTTCTCGTTGCCAACTGTGCAGCACGCATTTAGAGGAGCCTTCAAAACCACCGGAATCCTGGTGACTTTCATGGCAGGTCATGGTAAGCGGAAATAAGTGAGGATTAACTCTTTTCAACTCGAACGCGACACATGTTTCATTGTTGAGGGGTAGGTGTGACGGGTGCTAGTCAGAACTTTACTTCTTCATGTTGGTAACTATGAAATTGTGCAGTCGTCTGCTGCAGAGTATAGGTTATAGGAGGTGTTCAATGGAGGTAATAAATTTGCACTTGTACAATAATTTGCGATGTGATTGCCAGTAATTGAAAGTGGCTGGCGTGTTGTTTTAAGCATGCCATAGGGACTCGTACACTTTCCTTCCGAGTTTTGTGACAAGTTATGTTCGTTACTGATAATCGAAAAAGGCAGTTGCTAGTTACTTTCGTTTACTATTTAATTTTACACATGATTACATATCAATGGGACAAATGATGGCACAGGGGCATCCCTGGGTTCACCATGCAACGATTCGTACCCTCTAGCACGTTAACTGACGGCATCACTTACATTTCCCGCAAGACCTGACGAGTGCTTCTGGTCTTCATGTTTCCAGGCTGTCATCTGTGTTCCAGACTGCAAGCAGCCCACTCACAGCGATGTAAGAACCGTGCGGGTCAGACGGCGAGTCATAAGCAGGCGGAAACTAATCAGGAAAAGGAAATATTGGTACACAGTGAAACCTGTGGGATCGTTTCTGGGATGGCCTTCTCAGACAGACACAGAAACACCCAGTGAATTTCATGGTTTCACGAAAGGCAGCATTAAACATTCTCAGCTACGTCTGCAGCAAACCTTAGCCTACTCAATGTCTGATGGCGACGATTTGGTTAATCACCCAACTACAGTGACATCCATTTCTTTGGGTTCTGAAGGACATGTTTCAACTATGAAGGTTAGAGGCACCTTTTCGTTTGTGGACCTGCAGGCAGAAAACCCAAAGTGTTTTTCAATGGCACCTAATTTTGTTTTCAGGTCGTGCCAGTGAAAAGGAAAATATTGACTGTACTGTCGCTGTTTGATGGCATCAGTGGAGCATACCATGTTATACACGACAGGCTGAAGATTTCAACAAAATACTTTGCAAGTGAAGTAGATTATATCGCCAGGAAAGTGTCACAAGAACGTTATCCAGGCAACATTGTACAATTAGGTGACGTGCGTTTCATTTCAAAGGACACACTTGCTGCAATTGGCCACATTGATCTACTGATTGGGGGAAGCCCATGTCAAGGTAATTATGACAGATTTGATGGAGCAATGTCGGCATAAAACAACACCATTTGTTTGACCGTGATTTCAGACTTCAGCCTCGTAAATCCCAATCGCAAGGAATTTGAACCAGATTCATCGGGGCAGCTCCTGTTCAATTTTGTAGAGATCCGTGACACTCTATTGAAGCAGGCTGGACAGGAAGGCAGACCCTTTTTTTTCTGTTATGAGAATACAGCTCATTGTAAGAAGTCAGTCAAGGAGCGAATGACAAAAGCATTGGGTGTGGAAGCGGCAGTTATATGCCAGAGTTCGCTCACTCCAACAAGGTAAGCAACTGATGGTTTTGTAATGCTTCTCCTTTCTTATTTGCAACTTATACATTTACTTTATAAACAGGCGGCGGCGCAATTATTTTTCTAATATTCCTGGCATTCATGAGCTGGCTGCTAAGCTGTCTATGACACAAACAGACAAGACTCTTCAAGACTTTGTTGGGCCCTACCACCTTGCGACCAGGATGGTTGCCAGGACAATCACTTCAAATGCGTCAAATCAACAGCGACCTCTGATGTGTATCAAAGATAATAAATTGGTTAATCCATCTGTCAGAAATTTGGAGATGTGGCAGGGATTGCCCCCAGGTTACACAGACTGTGGCATTACAAACTGCCAAAGAAAAAGATTGTTATCAAACGGCTTTTCCATTGATGTACTTGCAGAAATTTTGAAACCGCTCAAAGAGATGTATCTATGTCGTAACGAATGAATTTGAGGCACTTGGTTATATAACTATGCAGGTTCATTTTAAAAGTGGGTCTGCAAGGAATAACAGCGCAAAAAATATCACCTGGATTTCTCATTTGTGAAATGCTTTAGGAGTCTGGGTGAGATGAATGTACACGCTGACCAATGGTTAAATGAATATATATCATTTTGTTCAGTTAGATTAAGATTGCTTTTAGTATTGTATTAACCCCTACTGTATACTAAAAAAGGAGGGCTATTAGATCCATTTTTTACTGGAGATTGCTGAAATGTACAGTGTACAATTGTGCACTGTTTACGTAAAGACCTGTCATTCATGAACTAAAACTGCACAGCCCTCAGTAGAGTATAGCTCTCTGGAAATCTTTTGGGGACTACATAATTAATTATCTCCACTTGTTTTCATTATTTTATTAACATTTTATCTTTAACACAGGATATTTTTGTCAGTTAAGACTAAGTAGTAGGCCTTGGTCTTAAAAACATATTATCTTATCTTAGATTCAATCCAAATTTATGTACATAATGTCTGAGACCCTACATTACAGCTCAAATAAAAGCAATTAAATTCTGAATCTTTCTTTGACTAGACATTTCCATTTACAATTAAACTGGACCTACAAACTTACAAATAACTGCATGTCAAGTGTCACAGACTTACAACACGCTAACCAATAATATCATCGCACCACAAAATTATGGAACTGGCTACATCCTTTCCAAACCAACTGTAGCATACATATTATACAGTCAGTCTCCAATATGGCACAAACAGTTATTCGCCTGCTTATTTGTATGATTTTATTTACACAGGAAAGACAGCCCGTGAGGAGGACAGGGAGGATATTAGGTGATGATGATAATACAAGACATTAACACATGAGCAGCACTGCCATTACAACTAAGACCAGAAGTGAAATGTTTAAACTTGATATCACACGACAGACTCCAGACTGAACAGACTGAAAACACAGGACAACGTGAGGCTCATCACCAACTCCACGCAGAGTTGACACTGAAGTTTCCAACACCAACTGCACACATACTGCATAAATAACAGAGGGGCAGATGATTATATTCATAATTGATAGAGTCTTGTTAGTGTATTTATGTTTATTAATTACACCACTACTAGCACTATTGGCACTGACCTGTAGTTGTTTCATTCCACGTTGAACCCACAAAGGTACCTCAATTGCTCGTCCAGTTCTTTCATATTCCAAAGGTTCCGCAGAGAGATCTCCACTTCTTGAGGACTGTAGTCTGGAAACTCAGCAGCCATGCGTTCCCTGTGCTTGTCGAGGAACACATTAAAGTTTTCTCGAAGACACTCCTCTCTGTCCTGCTTACGGTTCCTCCGTCCCTACAGCAGACATAAACAAATCATCAGAATTGGCTACGTCCATACATAACCCCACCTCCACAGCAATCACACACAACCTTTTTAAAGGGCCTAGTCGGTGGGACGGGCACCCTCTCGAGCACAACACGGCATTGGAATAAGACGGCCACCATAGACCAAGTTGCCACCGACACATGAGTCAAACGCACAGAACAATCCCTTGATAGTGACATTTGTCGCTGGCTGCAATACACATCACTCCTGCCGTGCTTCAGCACTTTGACCGGTCGCCACATCCACGCACCGAATAATGCAACAAATTTGAGAGTTGCGAGTACCGCGTTGCTTGCACACACTATTTGTTAAGTGACATGTCAATGGTCAATTACAGCTTGTTGAACGTTGACTCAAATATTCAACAGCTGATCTAGTGTTGTTGTCGGCGCTACTCCACGCCGCCACCAGGCGGCAGCACCAGGCTGCTACCCTGGCGCGACGTGATACCTCAGGCCAACACCAGGGAGCAGCACTAGCTAAGCACTACGACGGGACGGTGGGGGAGGGGAGCCGTTTGGGAAGCCTCTTGCGTGTGACAGAGACAGAGAGAGAGTCAGACAGACAGACAGACAGACAGACCAAGTGGTTCTCGCATCTCAATCAGCCTGCCGGCCACGCTCCGCCACTGCGCAGCACGCGACTTCCGTCACCTCCCACCAGAGTGCACCACATTACGACGCAGCGGTGGCGCCATCTCGCGGGAGAGGGGCGGAACCAACGTCGAGAGGAACAGGCCTGGGTTCAAATACCACAACTTCCATCGATTTTTTTTTTACTGAGACGATTGGGATCTTTTCGCGACAGCGGCAGTCATTATCGATTCAGTAATCACGGGTTTCAACTCCACTAAAAAGGAACCAATGCACGGATGCATGCATGGTCTGGATGAGGACTACCGCTGTACTACGGAGGGTAGGGTGGTCCAAAAAAAAATGAAGTTGCTCGGATCGTCCAACGCCGCCCGGATTTGGATTCTACATCGAAAAAAATGAAATACGTGTTTTTTCCTTTTTCGAAAAAATGATTTTTAGGACCTCCTCAAAGCCCTCAAAGTTTTTAACAGTGCTATTAATAGGAAAAAAATCGTAACTTGGTCATTTTTTGACCGATTTTCAAAAACGATACGGGGATTTGTTCGTTTTTGAATGCTTATTACGAAAAAAATATGCCCAACCCTCTTTTTGGTTTGCCTAACTTTCAGGGGCAAAAAATGACTAAATTTCGGCCCAAATTGGCAAGAGTTTCAGTTTGTAGGCCGCTACAGCCACTCCAAGTCCACCCTGTCAGCATGGCGGGGTGCCCCCACCACTAGGCAAGCCCCATGAACAGAAATGAGATGCCGAGTGCAATTTGCCTACCTCACAGGGGCATCAAATTGTGGATTTTTTTCGAAAATCTATCAATAGTGGTCTCTCTTGGGGCCTCTGGGCACTCAGATGGGCACCCTTTCACCCGGTTCGGTACCCGCACTACGTGATATGAACAAACAATAGGAATGGACGTTGCTGACGCGAGGAACCGCAACCACGCAAGGCCACAAGAAAAGCCATCAAAATGAAGGAATTTTCTAAAGTTTCACGTTTTTCTGGTCCTGAGAGGTAGGCATGAGGTGCTCAACAGTCAATTCCTATTGTTTGTTCTTATCACGTAGTGCGGGTACCGAACCGGGTGAAAGGGTGCCCATCTGAGTGCCCAGAGGCCCCAAGAGACACCACTATTGAAAGATTTTCGAAAAAATCCACAATTTGATGCCCCTGTGAGGTAGGCAAATTGCACTCGGCATCTCATTTCTGTTCATGGGGCTTGCCTAGTGGTGGGGGCACCCCGCCATGCTGACAGGGTGGACTTGGAGTGGCTGTAGCGGCCTACAAACTGAAACTATTGCCAATTTGGGCCGAAATTTAGTCATTTTTTGCCCCTGAAAGTTAGGCAAACCAAAATGAGGGTTGGGCATATTTTTTTTCGTAATAAGCATTCAAAAACGAACAAATCCCCGTATCGTTTTTGAAAATCGGTCAAAAAATGACCAAGTTACGATTTTTTTCCTATTAATAGCACTGTTAAAAACTTTGAGGGCTTTGAGGAGGTCCTAAAAATCATTTTTTCGAAAAAGGAAAAAACACGTATTTCATTTTTTTCGATGTAGAATCCAAATCCGGGCGGCGTTGGACGATCCGAGCAACTTCATTTTTTTTTGGACCACCCTAACGGAGGGACTAGAGAAGGCGACCAGCCGGAGCGACATGGCGGACTGGCGTTTCCCGCTCTTTTCATGTACGACACAGTACTACACCACTACTCCAGTAGACATCAGATGTAGACATACGAAATGGATTTGGTATGGAGGTCAGTGGGAGGTGCAGTCAGGGACCTGGTACTAGCAATGTTGACTGGGAGAATCTCCTCAAAAGTCATCGTCGCCAATCGCACTCTGACTATGCGGAATGGCAAGGGCACGCTCTTAATCGGTCCTCCGCTTCATTAGGAACGAGAAATTCGACTTTGACTTTTCGTTTTTTCGGCACTTTACGTAGCACGACGCTTAAGAATATCCTCAAAAGTCATCGTCGCTAATCGCACTGGAACTATGGAGGATGGCAAGGGCACGCTCTAAATCGATCCTCTGCTTCAATAGGAACGCGAAATTCGACTTTGACTTTTCGTCTTTTCGGCACTTCACGTAGCGCGACGCTAAAGAATCTTCTCAAAAGTCATCGTCGCCAATCAGACTGGGACTATGCAGGATGGCAAGGGCACGCTCTAAATCGGCCCTCTGCTTCAATAGAAACGCGAAATTCGACTTTGACTTTTCGTATTTTTGGCTTTTCACGTAGCACGACGCTAAAGAATCTCCTCAAAAGTCATCGTCGCCAATTGCACTCTGACTATGCGGAATGGCAAGGGCACGCTCTTAATCGGTCCTCCGCTTCATTAGGAACGAGAAATTCGACTTTGACTTTTCGTGTTTTCGGCACTTCACGTAACACGACGCTAAAAAATCTCTTCAAAAGTCATCGTCGCCAATCGCACTGGGACTATGCGGGATGGCAATGGCACGCTCTAAATCGGTCCTCTGCTTCCATAGAAACGCGAAATTCGACTTTGACTTTTCGTATTTTTGGCTTTTCACGTAGCACGTCGCTAAAGAATCTCCTCAAAAGTCATCGTCGCCAATCGCACTCTGACTTTGCGGAAAGGCAAGGGCACGCTCTAAAACGGTCCTCCTTCAATAAAAGGAAATTCGACTTTGACTTTTCGTGTTTCGGCACTTTACGTAGCAGACGCTAAAGAATCTCTTCAAAAGTCATGTCGCCAATCGCACTGGGGCTATGCGGATGGCAGGCCCCGCTCTAAATCGGTCCTCTGCTTCCATAGGAACGCGAAATTTGACTTTGACTTTTTGTGTTTTCGGCACTTTCGTAGCACGACGCTAAAGAATCTCCTCAAAAGTCATGTCGCCAATCGCACTGGGACTGCGGGATGGCAAGGGCACGCTCTAAATCGGTCCTCTGCTTCCCTAGGAACGCGAAATTCGACTTTGACTTTTCGTGTTTTCGGCACTTCACGTAGCACGACGCTAAAGAATCTCCTCAAAAGTCATCGTCGCCAATCGCACTGGGTATGCGGGGTGGCAAGGGCACGCTTAAATCGGTCCTCTGCTTCAATAGAACGCGAAATTCGACTTTGATTTTCGTGTTTTCGGCACTTCACGAGCACGACGCTAAAAAATCTCCTCAAAAGTCATCGCGCCAATCGCACTGGGACTATGCGGGATGCAAGGGCACGCTCAAATCGGTCCTCTGCTTCATAGGAACGCGAAATTCGACTTTGACTTTTCGTGTTTTCGGCACTTCACGTAGCACGACGCTAAAGAATCTTCTCAAAAATCATCGTCGCCAATCGCACTGGACTATGGGGGGCAAGGGCACGCTCAAATGTCCTCTGCTTCAAAAAACGCGAAAATTTACTTGACTTTTCGTGTTTTCGCACTTCACGTAGCACGACGCTAAAGAATCTCCTCAAAAGTCATCGTCGCCAATCGCACTGGGTTATGCGGGGGCAAGGGCACGCTTAAATCGGTCCTCTGCTTCAAAAGAAACGCGAAATTCACTTTGATTTTCGTTTTTTCGGCACTTCACGAGCACGACGCTAAAAAATCTCCTCAAAAGTCATCGCGCCAATCGCACTGGGACTATGCGGGATGCAAGGGCACGCTCAAATCGGTCCTCTGCTTCAAAAGGAAAGCGAAATTCGACTTTGACTTTTCGTGTTTTCGGCACTTCACGTAGCACGACGCTAAAGAATCTTTTCAAAAGTCATCGTCGCCAATCGCACTGGAACTATGGGGATGGGAAGGGCACGCTCAAAAAATCCTCTGCTTCAAAGAAAAGCGAATTCACTTTGACTTTTCGTGTTTTCGGCACTTCACGTAGCACGACGCTAAAGAAACTCCT